CATTCAACCATTTTAAAATTATAATCACATAAATAATTTGAAGAAAATTTCACTTGTTAGTATTTTCTTTTGGATGCTTTGGTCTGGCGGTCCTCCCCTGGGCTGCTTCTTTATCGTGCTGCTTAACGCCTTTTTGTTGCCATCTTAATGTAAATCCATTATTTTTCACCTGTAGGCATAAATTTGTAAATTCTAACTATTGGCCCAATATATCTGTCAATTGTTTGACATAATATAGCAGGCTTGTTTTTTTTTTAAACAAGCATAAATAAACTCACCTCTTCAGGAGTGCGTGTTACAGCCCCCTCGCTGTTTACAGACGTTGTCATCTCTTTCCATATTTTGAGCCCTCTTGATGCCACTTTTGAGGCTTCCAAATAGAACGACTTTATTTTTTTCCACTTCGTTCATAATGGTCTCAATCTACTGATCCGTGAATTTTTGCCCGTGGTCGTTTCCTCTCAATTGTTGTAAAAACGGGGCATGAAACAGGCGTCTGCTGCATATTTATAGGCGTGACTAGCAAAGATGCCAGTTCCAACACAATCCACAACCACATGGTCAAAAAGCGCATCAACACATCAGATGTAAAGGATGAGGCGGGATGGGTTTGTTACAGCCACTATCACTGCAACAGACAATATTGTGGTAGGTCAATTCGACAACCAGATATAAATTCTCTCTGGTCTTTCGCTCTCTGCAGCAGCGATCAGACCTACGACCAACAGGTTGGATAGCTCCGCAATCACACTTCAACTCCAGATATGAAAAGGAAATTGGCTCCAGCTTATGTTCAAATCAGCCTCTTCTGCATTAAAGCTAACACTGTGGTGATGTCACACTCTGTCAGTTCACTCTTTCCGTCTTGAGGCAGCACAAGGAACAGGTGTAAGGACAAGTGTTACATAACAACGACACAGGAAGTCAAAGACCGTTCTGACCCCTGGGTCCAGCAGAATGCTTTAGCAGCAACAACAATATTTACAGTAGCTACCATGCAGACACAAAACAAACATGAGACACCAATGCACAAAAATCTACATCCGTCATTCAAAGGTTAATTTTTTTCTGTAATTCAATGTAAAATGTGGAAATAATATGTGGTATAAAGTAATTATATGCAAACTTACATAAGCCTTTGTTTGTTAGATTTGTGATAATTATGGCTACAGTCTTCCCTAAACACGTAAGTTCAGGGAAGGGAAGTAATTTATGTTGGGTTTGAACAAGTTAAAAATAATCAATTGTCAAATTTCTTAAGGTACGATAAAAAAAGACAGCGCACACTGTAAACCCTAACTTCAATCGTACTTCAGATATCAAAGTTATTTTAAATAGATTTTTCCCAGTAAGTAAATATTACTCATTTATTGTTAGTTTATTTAAAGCTTGCCTATGTCACTCAGGGTTTTCTTTGAATTGAACTGTTTCTGTTCAAGTAAGCTTCACTTTTGACATTTTGATGTGTAGAGTCTTTAATGAGGCAGGTGTGATGATAACAGGGTGGCCTGGTGGCTGAGTGGGTAGCACCATTGCCTCTCAACTACAGGGTTCTGAGTACGTATCCCGGTCGGATCATAAGTAGAAATTTAAACTTTATTGCAATCACTTGAGTTTACTTGGTGGTAATATCAAGTAAAAGATGTACTCGAGGAATTCAAGTGAAGTTAATACGCAATTTATTGCCATGGTTTTTTCAAGTAAACTTTACTTGTCAGGGTTTACAACTTACCAAAACAGGACTAAAAGAGCACTTAAACAACAGGATGCATCAGAGAAGGATATGATGAAACATTCACAGAATAATCATCTTTTTGTTTACAAATCTTCCAAAGCATAGAACAATTATTATATTTACACTCAAGGAAAAACAAATATAAATATCCTTATAATTAAATACTAGAACCAGAGAGTACACTGTGCGATTAGCAGCGAGGGTCTGCTGTGTCCAAGGGAGAAACAAGACTACTAAATATGTTTTAATATTTTTGTCAAAACTACAGAAGGTGAGTTCTGACTGAGAAGCAGTCATTCTGCTCTAAACATTGTGCTACATAACACATTGTTGTTTGGTCGTGATTCTGTGGATGAAGTAGGTCACCAGTGAATATAGCGATCTCGTGTTGAATGCTGAAGATCGACACGTCTCCAATATCAGGTAACAAACTTTGTACTTGTGGGGGCCAAGGGCTAAAAATAATCCCTCACCCCAAGTGTATCCACTTAGACTGAGCTCATGTTCAAGTCCCATAGGCTCTTCGCTTCAGCGCAATGAAAAAGGTACGTATGGCTCATGCACAGCTGGAAACCACCGCCGCCAGATTCACATTATTCCAATAACAGAAGTGTGACAGGGAGGAGTGTATTTGTGTTGCATCTTTGGATTTCGTTCAGAAAGAGCTCGTTCACTATGACATCAATGCTGGTTGTATAATTGGCAACGGCTGATGAACATGTGTTTGTATAAGCTAAACTTGTAAAAGCTATCAAGAGCTACTGGCACCATTGTAGGGCTTACATGTTTCAACAGTACAGGCTCGTCCTGCAGAGTTCTACAACCACTGACCCCCTCTGTACGAGTCTCATGTCTCTCGGTGTAAACAAAAAGAAGCTCCTGAAACTGTGGCAGAGATTGGAGCTATTTTGGCGCAGAGATACTACTGCATATTCTGGTCCTCGGCGCTGACAGTTTTAGTGTTAGCACAGATTAGATCTAATTCACCAATGAAGAACACAAACACAGCGGATAAAGTCACATCCGAAAGACGCCTTTGTGTGACCTCATATAATCCTCTGCTGAGAAACAGGTGCATAAGTCATGATGTGATGGTAATGTCCCAGCTTTAACTTCTATGTTTTGCAGCTTAAATGTGTGTTAGTGTGCGACATGGGCGAATGGTTGTGTGAGTCCCAGAGTAAACACTAGAGACTGAGGCTGGCGTCCTTCAGAGCATCAGGAATGTGACCAATGCAGGTCATGGGTGAAGATGCACTGGTATTTTTCCAGTGTTTGTGCCACAGCTCTTCTGCTTGTGTATCATGGCACGAAATATAACTTCAATGTCAAACTTAGGTTCTGTGAGAGCCGTGAAAATGTGTGTTCAAAGGAAAACAAAAACAGGACTTTTTAAAAGTCATTTCAAATGGGTTTCTCTTTTATAATATCTGTACCTGTGGAGATATTTGTAAAACAGAAGGTTACTTTAAAATAAGACAATTAATTAGTGACATTATACAATTTAAGATTAAGATTAAGAGATCCTGTGATCCTGTAAATGAACAATAACTCTATAATTAAATTGAATAGAATTTCTAATATTAGCGTAATGAAGAAGCAAGAATTAAGTATAAAATGTCTGACTTAAACATCATAAAGAAGCACATTTAAAATCTCTAACAATTAGCAAGTATAAATAAGATAAGAAATATATAGTTCTACGTATACAACTGTTAGCAGCAGGAGAGTATGGGACAAAGTGACTGAATAAAGCGACATTGGAACTTTAACCACTAACAGAACATTTAAATTGAACTACAACTGCAGTATTTATCAGCAACACTCACTTTTGTGTTTTTACTCCAACATTGTTTTACAAAGTTAAATAATACTGTAATAAATCCTCTTTTGTGATCACTTTTTAGGCCCTGAGTACTGGTAACCTTGGACTAACAGGGATAAACTATTAGCTGGTGATTATCTGCTGTAAGGGGCTTACGTTCAAATGGAGTACGTATTGAGTGCGGACGACCAATCAAAGTCTCAACCACAGTCCACCGCCGCAGACACTCAAAAAGAATGTGACAAACCTGATTCATATTTCGAACATCCACCAGAAAACGCCGTGTCCGAGATGCGACCCGGAGACACTAGGGCATTTGGTGATGAAGAAAAGTGTTCGATAGACACTGATTCTCTCTTAATGGACGACAATACTCATAGTAGTCAAGTCCAGACAAGTACAACGTCCACAGAAAGATTCATATGTTGTTCAAAATCTACTGCAAAAGACTCAGAGTGGAATTATTTTGATTCCTCACCAGCAGTAGAGCCAAATACCTGCCAAACCGGTGACCCCACAACAACTTGTCTATCTACGGCTGCACCACATGCATCCAGTGCTGTAGAAACATTGTCTGGTCCTAGCGTCAGTGACTTTTTTTCGGATACCAATAGTAAGAAGTCTAGTGACGTTGCTGGTCTCTTACGGTCTTCGTCGCATCATTCAGAAAGTTCGGAGAGTGACTCAATGCCCGCACCTCTCTCCGATCTTTACATCTTTGAAAGCGAGACGAGCGATTTTGCCTTGAGCCCTGATTCTCCTGGCTCCCAAGTGATAGAATGTTCGCAATGTGCTCCATTAACACTGACAGCAGTTGGTGAAATACAATTAGCAGCAGAATCAGTTGCCTGTGAGTCATTTGAAGTGGTGATCAAAGAGGAAGAGAATGTGTTGGAAGATCAGACAAAAGTTGAGTCAGAGGAGCGGGACAGCGTGAGTGTAGAGCCACCTACTGCAGATGCCAGCGAGGCAGCACAGGAAAACACAGAGGTAATGAGTATGACAGGGAGAAACGATAGTCCTGTTGAACTGTGGCTTGATGCCTGCCAGTTCTTTGCAGTTGAAAATACACAAAGTACTTATTTGACTGAATCATCTGTGACGCAAGCATCAATATACGACACCACAAGTGACTTTCCCATCTCCCCAGAAGAGACAGACGGGTCAGGTTTCAGTGCCTGTGACGTGATAGGCTGGTCTTTTGATGACAACAAAAGTTTGGGGGCCTCAGTTGAGAGGTGGTCGTCTGTAGATAGCTGGGCAAGCGCTCTTTCTGACTGGGCAGAGATTATTTCCTCTCCGCCGGAAGATCTCACCGCTGCCTTCTCAGAGATAGGAGCAGAGATAGATGCATTGACACAGGCACTGGCTGAAGTGACCACTCAGATTGGAAAAGAGCAATTAAGTGAATCACCTAAAGACTTTCTCAATCAGTCCATGATGGGAGTCCAAGACAAGCCTTTGGACTCACACAACATCACAGAGACCTTCTCGGAACAAAGCTGCCTGACGAGTTGTCTTGGAGGAGAGAGTTCAGAAAACAACGGTACTGTGGCAGTGTGTACAAAAAAGATGGAGCTGGAAGAAGTCACCAGATGTCAGATCCAGTCCAAATCCAGATCTGAAACCATTCAATATAGAACTTTGACTTCTGAGGAGCAAGAGGCAGCTTTTGAAGAAGTGTCCAGTCTACAGGACAAGAGATGTGATTCATTTGAGACGGATGACAACACTGAAGCAGTTCTAAATATTGTAGAGGACACAGATGTGGAGAGAGCATCCAAAAGTCCTCTTGAGAATGAGGTAAGGATGTAAACACGTAGCTCTGAAACTCCCTTTAGTGGAAATAATATGCTCCATGACGACATAAAATGCATTCACACACTGCTGGCACTATGGAAAGAACATCAAGAACTATTTTTTAACTTCTGTCCTTGTCACTGTTGCCATACCTGCAGTTATATTGAGTCAGTCATGAGACCAAGTTCCCAAATTCAAATGTCACAGCTCATCTGACCTTAAGCGACAGTCACACACTACCTTGGATCCGAGCCACCGATTCTTCATCCAAGTCTGATTATTATTGAGATGTGCTTAAGTTAAAACTTCAGACAGAAATGGCATCTAATAATAGCTTGGAGTTAATGATGATAATAGCATGCAGCCGTAGTGTGTCAGGGTGGAGGGGTGAGAGGCCTGCACAGCTGATGGTTGTAACATGACCCTACAGCTCTCTCTCTTTTCCAGTGCACCATTTTACACACCCATTCCCATCGCACCTCCTTTAAAAACCCCAGAAGGTCCACTGGCTCCCACACATTTGTTCAACAGATACAGTGAACAACTACACAGACAGGACAAGTAATTCTGCATGTTGGATTAATTAATAGAAGCATGGAGATTTGGGGCTTTACAAAAAGGTATGTATTCAGTGTTTATTAGATTTAAAGGCATGGACGTTCTCTTCTAAATAGATAGATAGACAAATAGATAGACAGATGGACAGACAGATAGATAGATAACGTTATTGATCCCCATAGGAGAGATTCAGGTTTCCAGCAGCAGAAACACATCCATCCATGCAAACAAATAAATACATAATTCTAAGGTCAATTAACAATAGCTTTACTAACAATACAATCTGCTGTGATGTTTGCTTGGACAGTCTTACAGAAACTATTTGCTCTTGTTCCAGTCCCGTACAGACGACGAGTGGGAGGTAAAAAATGAATCGAGTTTCTCTTCGCCGGACTGGGCCACAACCAAGAGAATCAAGGTCGCTCAACAAGAGAACAATGCCCTAGGCTTTTTGCACGTGCCCGAAGAGGACGGTCCCCTTGATCTTAACGCCCACGTGTTCCCTGACAGTTTAGTGGACTTTGATGGAGTATGTCAGGTGGAGCCACTGTTGGGGAGTCCTATGTTTATTATGCCCTCAGCTCCTCTCAGTCTTGGCTCCTCCCTTGTCACTCAGGCCTCCGGTTTGAATGGAAACCAAAGGGCGACAAGATGGTCTCTCAGCTCCGACAGTGTTTATGATCCCAATGAAGGTTCTGATTACCAGCCAAACTCGGATAATATTACAGACTTCTCTTCAGAAAGTATTGAGGACATCACCGACTCAAAGCAAAGTGAAACAGATTTTACAACTGACCTAGCATTGGATGAAGTTACACAGTTTTCTTTCACTCAAAGCAAAACTATTTTTGAAGAAAGTAGAGATCTTTTAAGCTTGGCAGCGATACCAAATGACCATTTCACAGTCTGTGCCGAGAAGAAGGTAGTTTGCTTTACTTTAGACTTGTTTGACCCTTTTTTCCCTTTGGTTTCAACAACTCCTCGAGCAAAAATGCCGCACAAAACTCACAAGTCAAACTCAGAGGGAAAAACACGCGCAAAGAAAGACAGGCCCCCAGCTCACTGCAATAATAATGTACAAACGGCTAAGAAACAGGAAAATCTACACTATAATAATGAAGCTGAACAGCAAATATGCAAGGAAAATCTCACAGAAAATGAAACCAGATTGGAGAATAAAGACGGTGAGCAGGTTATTGATACTGTTGTCCCTCCGAAAGAAATGGGAAGACGACATAGTAAAAAGAAGAAGAAGCATCCAAATAAAAGTACAACGGAGCCACTGACTCAAGCTGAACCCGAGACAAAAACCGACAAAGCCACAAGTGATGTCCTCAAAGACAAGCAAGTTGTAACAAGCACTGATCAACCAACGGCTTTACAGAAAAACACTGACAAAGCAGAGACTAAAATACAAGTGGAACCGAAGAGCGATAAGGATGACTTGATTAAAAAGCGACGCCTGTCCCAGGGAAAGTTTGGGAAATTGGTCAGTTCTATGGAATCTAAACTGACTCAAGGAGACGTCAAAACAACAAAAGCTGCATTAGACAAGGTCGATGTTGGAGCAACGCGGAGGAAAGCATACAGCGAAGTGGTGAAGCAGAATAGTGTCAAACCCAAACAAGGTAAAATATGTAATGTTTGTTTTGTTGTTTGGTTGCCAATGTCAAAGGAGTGCTTTGCTATAAATGATTATATTTGCAGATCTTAAGGTTGTGAAGCCCATCCAGGCGGTGTCTGTGAGTGGAGACCCCCAGAGCATGTGTCTCTGGTGTCAGTTTTCAGACGTTCTCACCGACTACACGGTCACATGGAGAAGAGACAGCACTGTGCTGAATGAAGTAAAGAGGAGGTATGTCTTTGTGCTATTCTATCACACTGTTTAATTTTATGAATGAGTACTAGAAAACATAATACTGTAAGTAAGTAATATTATAACTTTACAAACGTTGTACCTTTAGTACTGTAATACCTATGTCACTTATCATTAGGGAAGAATGGATTTATATTTATAGTAGATCAAAAGTTGCTTCCTCTTCCTGCATGTATCTGTGTGGTTGAATAGTGGAAGCTGACCACAGACTGTACAATAACAGTGGAAATCTGTTTTCCATCTGGAAAGACTCAAAAGGATTTGTTGAGTTACTTTACATGGAGCTACTGCAGGATTAGGCACAGACCAGGATTTGGTTTGGCACTTTAACCAAAATATTGCTGGAGTTTCTGTCCTGATGGTGGAGGAAGCTGAAGCTAAAGCGAGATTGTTCCATTGTTGATGTGGTGATGGGGAGGAGGTGGGTTGCTGTGCGAGCTGAAAGTGTTAGTTGGAACAGATACACTACACATAGTTTAAGATTTCCCTCCCTTTTAATGGTAGATCAAAGATCAGTGCCAAAGATACTGTCAGTTAACAGTTTAATTTGCAAAACCATAACAGAGAATATTGATTTACATTTGGTGAAGCTGATGAGGCCTCCTTAGTGATTACAATATTTAATTCTGGATGATTTTTACAATGACATGTGGCATAATTTGATCTGTATTTTAGCAGAGCTGAAGCTCGTGTTAGCAGGATCTTTTCTGGATATTTTTACGGTCATGAATAATAAATGCATAGTAAGTTAACTCAGATTCTGAGTTTCAAAATGAGGCTGAGAGGAGGCTGTAGCTTTAGCTAGCTGAATCCACGTGGATTTGAGTTTGGTGTCTGCCATTCTGAGGCATCAGCGTTTCATCGCTCTAAATAATCTTGGGGTTTTAATTTCATATTTTCAAACAACTTTAGCAAATCTCAAAATTGGTTCCAAAACTCCGTCCATGGAGCTAAAAAAAAAAACCTTAGGTCATCATCATACAACCCAGAATTATATTTAATTATTGACTCTATTTAGGTAAGGACAAAACATTCTTTCTCACAGTATATCTTTATATACTGTATATACTGTATTATACTTACATTTTAAACATTTTATTTTGACACATGTTACCTCTTCTTGAAGTGCAGGGGATGAGAGTAGAGTATCTCTGACCATCTCCAATGCCTCCCACAAAGATCTGGGCAAGTACCAGTGTGAGCTGAAGAACACACATGGAAAGGTGGTGTTGGACTTCCTGCTCACATATGAATGTAAGTGGCACATGAACAATTAATGTCATATTTATATCATTTTACTGATGCAAACTTTCCTGTGCAGTGCTCAGTGAGATCGTCGTCCCAGCGACACCTAAAGTCACTCCTGGTAAGTCTAGTCACAAACATAAGCCCTGTTTCCATCATAACCAACTGAACCCTACTCTACTCTACTCTGCTCTACTCTACTCTGTTCTAATCTACCTGGTTGCGTTTCCATTGCGCTTTAGTATCTGGTACCGTATCCTAGCAGCCGACCCACAAATAGTATACATGGAAAGTGTTCAGTTAGAAAACATTACAACGGTGGAAACGCAGGGTAGAGTAGAGTAGAGTAGGGCCAAGTAGAGCTGGTGGAAACAGGAGACACTTTTGATAATAATAATTCAAAAAACATTTATGAGTTATAGCAATCCAAATCCTAAGAAAACATAAGTGTAATCACTAATAATAATTTTGATAAACAAATATTATTGGTCTCTTTGAATCTCCTATTTTCATATGTGGATATGCATAATGAAGGTATTTTGACCTATATTTTCTGAACAAATCTAGTTATGGTACTTTATAATTATGTGTTGGGTTCAAACTCTAGAATAAAAATTATATGATAGTTTTATCTGGGGAAATTTGCTTTAAACTGGGGAGTAATGCGTCATAGTATCTCATGTTAACCTAGCAAGCAAGTTAATGGTAATAGCTGAACATCGTTTCAGGGGCCACTAAAATGGTCTGGGGGGCAGCATTTGACCCGCAGGCCATAGTTTGAGCCTACCTGCTCTAAAGAACACACTGCCAAAAGTGTTTAAAAAAATAAGTAAACATTTCTCATATTTGGCTAAATGTATCTTGATATGTATCTGTTTTTAAAAGATACAAGACATGTCTCTCTTGGAGTGAGAAAATAAAGCAACAGTTCTTGAAATAAGACTAAACGGCTTGTCCCACTGGCTATCTATTTTAAAGCCAGTCAGAATGTACTCAAAGGAACTTTTACCTCATATTTTATTTTATTTTATTTGCAGTGCAGTATTAGTAAAGGAACCCACGTGTGTAACATATGGAGGACCAAAAATGACTAAAGTATAAATAAATAAATAAATACAGGAGTATATTAATAAATACATTCATTTTGGACAATAAAAACTAAATATTTACATTGATGTGTTAAATATTACTATGAAATCAAATAAATATACTTTTATTTAGGTTATTTATCAAAATCTACATTTTTTCCTTTATTTATTTATCCATTTATTGCATATATTTATTTATGTATTTCTACATTTCTTCATTTATTTATTTATGTATTTCTACATTTCTTCATTTATTTATTTGTGTATTTCTACATTTCTTCATTTATTTATTTATGTATTTTTGTGTTCCTGTATGCTAATTAGGTGGGCGGTGCTGAACTCAATCTAGAACAGGATTGGTTAGGATTGCGTGAACTCTGGTCTCGATCATTACTGCCTCACATTACGGTACTCTGTTAGCTAGCTAGAGATCCTCTGTGCACTTTAGTGTGGTATGATGGCAGTTTCGAATGTACGTTTTTTAGGAGCCATTGCTCATCAATTAAGAGCATTAGCAAATGATGTTAATGATGTTGAGCATAATGCACCTGAGGACTATCTACTCTTTTGGCTGGAAAGACTATTAAATGTTTTAGTTCATCACAGTGCTGACCCAGAGGTAGACTTTGATGCAACTGTGCTGGACGCTCTTCAACAAGCTATACAGTTAATGCCCAGTTAATGCCCAGCGGACATCGGATTGACAACTGATTATATCCGTCGCATATGAGTTCCTGCCCCGCACACATCGACAATCTGACGAAAACGGGCAACTCCCAGTAGCAGACCAGTCTCGGGGATAACAGTGCGTACATCGACAGCAACTGGCCTCAACCACAGTGTGTTTTCTGACATAAACTGTTGCGGGCTCGCAACACACGCAATACACACACGTTGTCGGAGCGGCGCATGGAGCGCGCACATCGGGTCATATCTCGAAAACTGAGGACAACTAGTTGCCAAAAAGTAGAACACGGGCAACTGACTGAAACTGGAGACCGACTGATCATCTCCAGTTGTAAGAGCGCGCACATCGACCGATTTCAACTAATCATCTCCACCATCTCCTCTCAGTCGCCAAAAGCCGCCTTGCAACTTGTCTCCAGTTTCTCTGTCGATGTACGCTAGGCTTAACTTTGCTTCTGTCTGGTTGCCCTGGCTGACCTACTGCCCACCAATCCTGTTCTAGATTGAGTTCAGCACCGCCCGCCTAATTAGCATACGGCAACACAGAAATACATAAATAAATAAATGAAGAAATGTAGAAATACATAAATAAATAAATGAAGAAATGTAGAAATACATAAATAAATAAATGAAGAAATGTAGCGACACAGAAATACATAAATAAATAAATTAAGAAATGTAGAAATACATAAATAAATAAATGAAGAAATGTAGAAATACATAAATAAATAAATGAAGAAATGTAGAAATACATAAATAAATATATGCAATAAATGGATAAATAAATAAAGGAAAAAATGTAGATTTTGATAATTAACCTAAATAAAAGTATATTTATTTGATTTCATAGTAATATTTAACACATCAATGTAAATATTTAGTTTTTATTGTCCAAAATGAATGTATTTATTAATATATTCCTGTATTTATTTATTTATTTATACTTTAGTCATTTTTGGTCCTCCATAGTAACAATGCTGTCCTGTGTGCAGCTGTCTCTGTGGAGGTGGACCATGAGGAGGAGGACATCCTCTGCTCCAGGCTCATGTTCAAACAGGACTTTCTGACGGAGCAGACCTTCGGGGACAGTCACTCTGCGAGCATCATGACGGAGAAGACGCACTTCGGGGAGGGCATGCACCGGCGCGCCTTCAGAACCACCCTGCAGGCCGGGCAGGTCCCACTGCTGCTGCCGGGTCACTCCTGTGTGCTCAAGGTCCACAACTCCATCAGCTACGGCACCAACAACAACGACGAGCTGGTGCAGAAGAACTTCAACCTGGCCGTGGAGGTAAGCTAATGCTAATACAAATGCTAAATTCATGGCTAAAGATAGCCAAGTTAGCTGTGCGAGCTACAACCGCGGGTGACTCAGAGTCAGAACCAAGCTAACTCAGAACCGGGAGTATTACCTTGAGAGAAGGGTCTTGAACTGTAATAGAATGTTGGTTACTATATAATGATATAATAATGTTGATTTTCCATGGTTATTATACATTCATGGCTAAAGCTAACACAGTTGCGCTGAGTTAGCTGTGCTAGCTGTTAGCTACAACCACGTTTCAAAACTCTTTCTGTCTGTGGTCAAAACGCGTTTTTGTTTAAACAATAGGACTCCCAGAATTATAAGCAATGGAATTATGAAAAAATCCCCAAAAACAGTTTTCAACTTTCACTTACTCAGAACCAGGACCAGAACCCCGAGAGAAGGTGCGTTAACTGCCACAGAATAATGGTTGCCAGGTTACAGTCTATGTTGCCAAGCGACCAAAATGGCGACATTTTAATTTTACATACAAAGAATGGAGAAGTTATGACATTTAATAAATAAAAGAATATTTAAAGAAAAATAATGACATTTAGATAAACTACATTAGGATACGAAGACCAACCATTTACACACGCTGTAATGACCAGTGAGGGCCTCAAGACGGACAACGTTTGTATTGTTATTAACCTGTTTATGAACCTTATTATGAATATCAATATGTGATCATGACGTCTGTGGTTGCAGGAGTGTCAGGTGCAGAACACTGCCAGAGAGTTCATCAAAGCCTACACCACTGTGGCTCAGTCTTTTGAGGCTTTTGGACCAGTCCCAGAGTAAGACACAAAACTGATTATTACTATTATTATGTTTGATCAATTTTATTTTTATTTTTGCTGCTACCGGACACCTGAATTTCTTCTACGGGGATCAATAAAGTATCTAGCTATCTAAAATGTGACCTTCAACCAATGACCTATAACCTGTGACCCGTGACTTCCTCCATGTTGTAACAGTCGCACCATGTTCCCATAAACCCTTCAGATTACAATACAATAAAGTTTACTGTATAGGAGATTTTAGATTTGCTTCCTTATTTTACCCTGTGTGTGTTTGTGTGTTCAGGATAATCCCCATCTTTCTGGTCCACCGTCCGTCCAACGACATCCCGTACGCTACTCTGGAGGAGGAACTGTTTGGAGATTTTGTGAAGTATTCAGTAAAAGACGGAAAAGAAATTAACTTAATGAGGAAAGACTCTGAGGCGGGACAGAAGTGCTGCGCATTCCAACACTGGGTTTATCAAAACACAGAGGGCAACCTGCTCGTCACAGACATGCAAGGTACAACAACAACTACACAAGTGTCTAAATGATACTAATGAAGACATTATATGTATAGTATTATCATTATACAGTATATTTAATATTTATTGTTTGTGCAATAATAAAGTGTTGTATGTTGTGTCCAGGTGTCGGTATGAGGTTAACAGATGTTGGAATAGCCACCTGTAAGAAAGGGTGAGTCCTGAAAGTTTTTAAATAAATATATGTAAAATTCTAACTTTCATTTGTAAACAGGTACAAAGGCTTCAAAGGAAACTGTGCCACGTCTTTCATCGACCAGTTCAAAGCCCTGCATCAGTGCAACGAATACTGTGAAATCCTGGGACTTGTGTCGCTTCAATCAAAGCCTAAAAAGACTATGGCGGCTCCGAAGTCCAAGGCTCAGGCTGGAGCCATCCCCAAGAAGAAGACGTTTGAGTTCTCTCTGAAGGGGAAGTCGTAACAGCCTCAAACAGACTCTGAATGAAGTAGACGAGTGACGTGGATCTGAATGAACTGAAACTGTGACTTTGATGTTTGTGAGTGGAACCTTCTGTTGTTTTTATTGTCTTCAAATAACAGTTCATTAAATTAATGAACTTTGAAAGTGACTGAACACGTCTTATAGAGATGCACTTTTCTTTCTTGTCGATGTGAGAAACATCATGTTGGTGCATCTCTGTTCTCTTGGTTGCAATGCAACATCCTTTATTTATAATGTTCACTCTTTTGTTTATTTATTTGGAAATATTTTAAACATGAATTCATTTTAATTGTGTTTCTTTTTTTTAAATCTCTTGTTGCAGATGTTAAAACTCTCTTTTGGAGTTGTGTGTTTCCTCTCACACCTGAATCTTCAGGATCTGGTTCTATGTTGATTTAACCATTACATTGTGTGATTAAACTGAAACAGTAAAAGTCATAAACTTATGCTGTAAGTTCATATTGTTTTATCAAAGCTGTTTTTATAGATTCTCACATTTGACTATTGTTGACCTATTTCTATGGAAACAGCAACGTGTGAAACAAGTGCCTCTGGTTTCTCTATCTTTATTAGACATTTAACTTAATACACACACACATGCAGTAGATACACACATGCACAATACACACACACATACGATAGATATACACACATGCACCGTATACACACACACTCAACATTTTAAGGACCAGGTTGTCAGATGTTTGTTCTCACAGTAGCTGTTTAGTGTGATAATGGCGTTCGATGAAGACGACACAAACACCATTGTCACACTCCACGGCTCTGGAGCAAAGGACACGGTCTCCAGAGGACTCGGTCTCCAGAGGACTCGGTCTCCAGAGGACTCGGTCTCCAGAGGACTCGGTCTCCAGAGGACCCAGGAGAAGCCTAAAAAACAAATGGAATTATCAGAGACCAGCGTCCAAAGTGCAGGGACCTGGTGAGACCATGGCACCTGTGTTTACTTGATAGTGTTGAATGTGTCGACTTCTCTTTAAATTGAAGAAATACATAACAATAATGACAATGACAATTTAAAAAAATCTTGTTTTTGCTAACATTGAGAAATACCACTTTCAAATAAAAAGACATTGAGAACTATAACAGAAAACCGGTGTTTATGGTTAGGATATAGTCTCTCCCTACTGGAAAATTCTCAGCTCTATCTTACACTGCAAAAAAGGATAGGTTATGAGGTAATAATTGTTTGAATCAAGTATTTTTCTTAATTTGGGAACATTCTGTGTTAAAACAATATTTGCCAATGGGAGAAAAACCTTTTAGTCTTATTACAAGAATTGTTGCTTTATTTTCTCATTCCAAGCGAGACATGCCCTGTATATTTTAAAACAATTGTCCCATTGACTAATCTTGTTTTAAGGCTCAGTCAAAATGAATGTGGTCAAAATGAGATAAAATGAATCATCACTTTTTGCAGTGTAGAAGAATCGCATGCTAATTGAAAGTTGATGTATTTATATAGAAATAGTATCTGTGTAATTACAAGACAAAAACACATTTCTGTCACCACTAAAACCCTATGATAGACCACATGGTTGTTCTGGATCCTGGTGCTCTTACCTCAGGCCCCAGATCTGCTCCGGTCCCAGGCTGCTCCCGTCTACCTAAGACCGACTCGTGGCTGCCCAGTTTGTTTTTCCGATGTTGAAGTTAAAGTCCAGTTAAAGTGAGAGTCCCAGAGAGGGGCAGGCAGGGTCCAGTCTCTTTATGTAGACACAGCGGCGATAAGCTACGAGGGAAGTATTGATCGACCCTGACCACTCATGAAGGCTGAGGGAGAGAGGGGCAAGAGCTGAGACTGCCTCACTCTGGGCTGTTTCATCAGAACATTTGTAAAACTAATTAAAATAGATATTGGTGAGTATTCTACAAGTTTAAATATATAGATAAGTCTAAATATATGGTTCTTTTGCATTGAAGTGAACTACAGTGTACAATGTAGTTTTAAGGAGGACGTAACTCGGAAAATACAGATAAAAACTATGTAATAAAATCAATAACTCTAAAACTCTAAAACTATTTGGTTTTACCACTAAGTTCTAGTCTTAAAATACACCTTTTTATTTACCAGGAAAGAATCTGTTGTTCAGTGAAGTCCTGGCCCCAGAGAGAGGGGGCGGGAGAGAGGTTGGGGAGGCTGTTATAGGAGACTTTTGTACATGTTTTTAGCGATAGGGGAAACCGGAGCACCTGGAGGAAAACTACACAAACACAGGAAGGTCCGGAGGTGGAATCCAACCCGGGACCCTCTTGCTGTAGAGCCCAAGCACTAACCACTGTAGGGAGGTGCCGCCAAATGCATGAGAAATCCAGATACCGTCTGGACAGACAAAAAACATATTTGTGAAACGTCAAAAAGTAAAGTCACGTTCATGCATGATCCAGTTTGAAGGCTTACCTCGTGCCGTCGCCACGGAAACAAACAAGCGACTCCACAAAACAAACTCACTGGAATTCAATCGATAAAAGTTGGATGTGTTCAGACAATAACACTCAATCAGGCTGGAAACGAGACTAAAGCTTACGGTAATGTAGACAAACTAATGTAGCACAGAATTATTTGGACTGTCTAAGACAGGGGTGCTCACACTTTTTCAGCATGCGAGCTACTTATAAAAGGATCAAGTCAAAATGATCTACCTACTACAAAAATGCAAATCATATATTTATTTCAAAAAATATTCTTTATACCTACAATATATGTTTATGTACATGCAAAACCGCATGAGCCAATATAGCACAACACAACACAATTATCTATGTACATTTTTTGTCATTACCCGAGTTTACTCTTATGACTTGCACTGAATTGAATCGGCCAGGGATGCATAGTCCGGAAAATTGGTGGTAACTCGCTGACAAGTTTGTCGTGGTTTAGCTTTCCTGCACTGAGCGCGGTTGTTTGCGCATGTGCAGTCACCTAAGTGTCAGTAAAACATTACTGAGGAAAACACAGATGTCATTTGACTGTGGTGCCATGTCCATGTGCCATGCCTGTTTTTTTTAATCCAAATATTTCCCCTCCTCAGTTTATAAAATAATTTGCATCCACACATCTGCGTTATCAATCACATTCCAAACATGTGCGTGTCTTACGTCCTGTCCTGCGTTGGGGAAAAACACAGAAGTGGGCGGAGCTTTGATGCAGACGCCGGTAACGGCACTTTTACAGTCATAGAAGACACTCAGAGTAAAGACGTATGTTTACAAGCACTGACCCCGTCCTCAGCCCTGGTTTAGTCCTGGTTTAGTCCTGGTTTAGTCCTGGTTTAGTCCTGGTTTAGTTGTTTTCAAGCGTGAGTCCCCGCGATCACTTTGCTGCTCTCTGATGTGGAGGATGTTCGCTGCTGCGAGCATCTCACAGCGAACAGTTTTTAAGGTAGTATGATCCATGCTTCAGTGATCAGAGGAATTTAGGGGGGTACTGTGGCGTGCGAGAACGCAAAACTCCGATTATCTCTGTCTACACACAAATGCATTAACGGAGTTTTCAAAAATCTCCACTTTGCCCGGAGTTTTTTGTATATATTAGTTTAGAATGTGTAATTTTTTATTTATTTAATGCGATCTACCAATACTACCTTTGCGATCGACTGGTAGATCGCGATCGACGTATTGAGCACCCCTGGTCTAAGAGGAGAATCTCGGCCTCTTGTCTCCCAGGGCAACGGTTGGAGACCCCTGGTTCATAGAGGACGACCACTGTCCATAAATGTCCTGTACCCAAATAAAAACAATGATCACTAAATCTGGGGAAAAGTCTGAGGTTTTCTGGATTCAGGAGCTTGTGTAGAAGGGAAGGGTTTAGTTTAGTGTAAATTTTCAATTTACAACAAAAATAGTGCGACAGTATTGTTTAAAAAGGAGTGGCAAGAGCTCCGTTGTGTGCTGTCTGGTGCACACTGGGGGAGTCTTGCACAGTTTTTCCAAAGTGGTTTTACTGCAAAAATTAATTAATGGCAAATTGATTATTGAATCTTTGAAGAAGTTTAAATGTATTAAATCCCCTCCCTTCCCATCTTATCATAATGTAGGTATTACTGCTTCCTTCACTTCAGTACAGACACACAAAGAACAACAAAAAACTGCTAAAATAATGGGAAATATATTTAGAATGTTGCCATTTTTTAAATATACTTTATACATAAGTGAGTTTTGTATTTATATTTGAACTGTTTTATATCTACACATTATTCCATAGTCTTATAAATAAAGAATATCTTATCACCTCAATAGGAAATACAAAATATTTTCCTGTTTGTTCAAATTTGCCCCTTAACAAATAACGCCCTTCTCTTTTCTTCTATATTTTGTGCATATTGTTTTTACGTTTTTTAAATGTTTTAATGATTTTTTGTAATGGTTTTTTTATTTGTCATACCTTATACATGATCTGAGCTGTTGAGAATTATTTTATAAAGTTTTTTGTTGTATGAATGCTCTTTGGCAAAAATTACAAAATATAAAAAGTCAGAGAAATACAAGAATGCATAAAATGAACGCACTATTAGGCGCACACAAACGCATCATCATTTCAACCATGCGCCTTTTATTCTGGTGCACCTTATATCCAAAAATTAGGCATGATTTGATAATGCGAAAAATACGGTACATTCAAAAAAAGAAATTGAGACAAAGAACTTTTTCTCTGCAAACTGCTACAGAGGCGGAGAAGTACAGAGACTGGTTTGTGGAGTCACCGTCAAGATTTTTATTCCGTTAAAACATGATTGACTGTTTTGGCTGCGGCTGTGGCGTGGGGTCCTACTTTGATCTCTGGGAGGGCAGCAGGCTTTGATAGCTTCCCCACAGTGGCTTGCGTCTGTTTACTCGTCCTTGGAGCTGATAAGTCAAAGCTGATTGTCCGAGTGAATGAACTGAAGTCTCTTGACTACAGCACGCGCTCGAAACGCAAACTCAACGTCCATTTATTTGTACTGTTTTCCGTCATTCTTATAAAAGGGTAAAGAGAAATAAATGCTAAATACTGTCGGTGTTACCGGGTAAAAGAAAAAGGCAAAGTTAATGTATTTCAATGTTGTAAGTATTCAAGGTTAGATTGTTGTAACTACAGAATGCGGCTGCTTTTTAGCGCAAAGGAACACGTAAGAGAGAGCACATTACCCCTGTGCTGGTGTCACTCCACTGGCTCACAGGGACATGAAAGAGAGCACATTACCCCTGTGCTGGTGTCACTCCACTGGCTCACAGGGACATGAAAGAGAGAGCACATTACCCCTGTGCTGGTGTCACTCCACTGGCTCAGTTTCGACTCACGACTCGAGACGACCTTGCTCCACACCATCGTACATATTTATATTTAGGGAAACAATAATTGACCGGAGCTTACGGATGGTTAAGGCCAGGCTAGAGACGATTGGGTTGTTTCCACTTTGTAAATAATAATAATAATAATACATTTTATTTAAAAGCGCCTTTCAAAACACCCAAGGACACTGTACAGGGCATAATAAAAACATTAAAAACAGAATAAAACAGGTGTGCGATATGGGATGGTGGGTGCGTGTGTGTCAGGCGGGGTAGGACAGTCTGAACAGATGGGTTTTGAGTCTGGATTTGAAAAGTGGAAGAGAGTCAATGGTACAGAGGTCAGGGGGGAGAGAGTTCCAGAGCTGGGGGCAGAACGGCTGAACACAAACTGATTTCACATACACATCATAAATTGTATCTTTTCCAGAATGAAAGATGAACCAGATGTTGTTTGGAGAAGTCTCATTTTTATTTGACAGAAATGATAAGAACCACAGAGAAGGACAAGAGCAGTCAGTTCTTTACCAACGAATAAAAAAAGAAACTCCTCTATAAGAAACTGGACTTTGTTACTTTTTGCCGTTTTTTACAGTCGTCACAAAGAAGTACAAAAGAAATGGATGCTTGCAAATCACTTCTGTAAATCCGTTTGAATGTTAGTAGCAGCTAAGACTTTTAATGAGACTATTTTAATATTGCACCAGGAAAGTGCTCAGAATGAAAAAGAATCACATTCATGTTAAAGACAGGATAGTCACATGATCGATAAAGTGCCCTTTTGGTTCGTCAGTGTTAGAAAACATAAATCTTAACATGCGGTTTTTAAACGTGACAATCACAGCTTCCTCTCGCCCCTCCCCCACACACTCTTCATTTAGTGTCATTATTCAGTAATACTTCTATTTAAAGTTATACACATATCTATATACAATGACAGGTCTTAAAATGTGTTTTTCCAAAGAACAATGTACAGCATAGGAACGGCAACAGGCATAAGAATAGTTAGAATAATAATAATGCAACAAACCAACTCTTCAGTCGGGCTCCAACCCTCCAGTACAAAGCAAACACAAGGTACGACTCCATGCTGCTTCTATAATACAATATACACCAGTTTTATGCAAAATTTTTGCTATCACGTCATCAAATGATATGGACTCATCCCTTACACTGCAAAAAATGATTAAATACGAGGTAATAATTGCTTGAATCAAGTGGTTTTTATCTTAATTTGAGTTTATTCTGACTGTTAAAACCACTTTCACTGCTGGGACAAAGCCATTTAGTCTGATTTCAAGAACTGTTGCTTGATTTGTTTCATTCCAAAGGACATATTTCTTGTATCTTTTTAAAACAGGATTATTTTGCTTTTGTCCCATTGGAGAAAAGTGGTAAAAAAAAAGGATACGATTTGTAAAATTTGAGCAATTTTCAACTCAATTTCCATCACTTTTCGCAGCGTGGCCTCGCCGGAGACACAACACAAACATTATATTAACTTTTCAAAATAGTAAACATTGTTGATCAGCACAAATAGGTTCGAGTGGAAATCCTTATTTATTCATATTCACAGAATCATTAACAATGATCTTTTCTCTTGTTTTAAATAATCACCTGTTTCATGAAAACTCACGTCGCTAAAAAACAAAATGAAAGAAAAGGTAAATCATTTTATAAAAGGCTGCAGCAGTAAAAAGTGACCACAAAACTTGGACAAGGCTTCACCGTGAAAGTATTCGCCCGGTTCCTGATGTTGCGTTGGCTAACATTCCTAAGGTAATCTGGTGTTGGTCAGAGAGAGAGTTCTGTGATCGTAGTGCCTCTGCAGGTTGGGAGGGGTAGTGCAGGAAGGAGCCGGATTAAGGCCGTGCTTGGACCCATCTTGGGCTCAGACTGTGCTTTAGCCGACGCCAACGGAACTCTCGAAATGCATTAGTGTGTTTTTAATCCAGCACTAGAGATTTTTCACAGGACAAGGAGAATCGATAATTAAACTGTACACGGGGCAACGTTTATGCCAAGGAAAGACGTGGGAAAGACGCCACTTTTTGCCTCCCCTCTTGTCCTCCTCTTCCTCCTCATCTCGCGTTTGTAGATAACCCACGATAAAAAACGACTTGAAGGTTGAAGACATAAATGTTCCAAAAGTGGCTGTTGCGGTAGTCAAGGGTTACAGATCAACATGCTCGGAGAGAAGGACCGGCGACGATCCACACAGCGGCTGCTGCTGGAACGTTCCCTTGCGGCCCTGAGACCCGGGTCTGGGGTCGGAGAGTGTTTTGGCTCCTGGAGAGATTTTTAGTCCACGCCCTCGAAGCCCTGGGCGTTCTCCACGGCCATGAGCAGTTTCTCCCTCAGGTCTTCGAACGACTCGTACGACGGCAGATCCAGGCGGTTGAAACTGGAGGGAAGACGGTACGGTCAGAGGCAGGATTACCATGACAACAGCACCTCAGAGGCAGGATTACCATAGCAACACTTCAGAGGCAGGATTACTATGGCAACGACATCTCAGAGGCAGGATTACCATAGCAACAACACCTCAGAGGCAGGATTACCATAGCAACAACATCTCAGAGGCAGGATTACCATAGCAACGACATCTCAGAGGCAGGATTACCATAGCAACAACACCTCAGAGGCAGGATTACCATGGCAACAACACCTCCGAGGCAGGATTACCATAGCAACAACACCTGAGAGGCAGGATTACCATAGCAACAACACCTCAGAGGCAGGATTACTATGGCAACGACATCTCAGAGGCAGGATTACCATAGCAACAACACCTCAAAGGCAGGGTTACCATGGCAACAACACCTCAGAGGGAGGATTACCATAGCAACAACACCTCAGAGGCAAAAACACCTCAGAGGCAGGATTACCATAGCAACAACACATCATCTATGAAAACTATGGTCAAAGTGCGGCTATTGAAAAAAGTCTAAGGGTACGCACCAGGTATGAGCTCTGGGCAGTTTGTCTGGTGTCCCCCATTGTTCGATCGTGAACAGCTGTGGGCCGTTTGATCCTGGGAAAAATAAAAAATAAAAAAAGAGTATACAGTGTAAATTCTTCTTACCAGTACAAACAAATATTAAATACAATAATAAAAAAAATAATAAAAAAACAAACAACACATATTAAAATGGTGAAGATTTTGAGACATTTAGGAATGTTGTATTAACATTTTAAACCGAGATACAGCTGGACTTACTATATATCACCCCATTTCCACCAGCCCTACTTGGTCGCGCTGATGCAAGCCTTGGTTACCACAGGATTTCCCCGGATACGGGTTTGTTTTGAGGAAGTTGCTAGGATACGGTACCAGATGATAAGGTGTGATGGAAACGCAACCAGGTAAGTAGAGTAGAGTTGGGCTGAGTAGGGCTGGTGGAAACAGGGCTAAAATTTTGAACATTTCACCCGTTACCTCCCACAACTACCTAATCTTAATTTACAGGAAGAAACTAAGCTTTATTCATAGGTAAGTAAGCAGCAATCTTTATTTATATCGGCTTTTCACAGACCATAGACACAAAGTACTTTACAAGCATCTAGGGGGCGTCACAGTCACCAAAGAACCTGGTTGCTATGGAAACATCGGCTTCTACGCTATGCAAGTCCAGCTGGGTCTTGTTTAAGGGGGTTTGTATCAATAGCAACTGAGAACATAGAAGTTTGAGTGATTCTCGTGAATGATTGTGCACACCGTAAAGTTCAGCAAATCCGTTCATGGGCACTCGGGACGTTCCGGTGACGAACTGCAGAAGTCGGATCCTCTTCTCGGCGTCCATCAACAGCACCACCTGGTTTCAGACGACAGATTTTAGGTTAATGGTTTAAGGACGAATGGTGAGTTTCTGGTCATGACAAAACGTTGACAAGGGTTTTATCAAAGTAAACAAAGCTAAGACTTTGATCTATTCAAACAAGGTCAACACACTTGGCACAGGGAGATACTAGCGGTTGGGTAATCGATAGGACGGCGTTTAGCTAACATTCAGAGAACAGAATTAATCTCGTGTTTATTGTAGGGGGTAATGTTCTCAAAAGATAAATCCTTGAAGAAGCAGCTGTATGTTTTAAGGATGTAACAGTTTATACAGTTTTATTACCATCTGAATTCACAACTGCTGAAGTGAGGGAGAGAGATCAGAGAGAGACCAGAGAGGCCAGAGAGAGAGAGAGAGAGTAGCAAGAGAGTAGAGAGGGCAGAGAGAGAATAGCGAGAGAGACAAGAGAGACCAGAGAGAGACAAGAGAGACCAGAGAGTCCAGAGAGAGAATTGACTGGCCACAGAGAAACCAGACAGAGACGAAAGAGAGCGAGAGAGAGTAGAGACCAAAAAGAGACCAGAGAAAGAGACAAGAAAGAGAGACCAGAGAGAGACCCCAAAGAGAGACCAGAGAGAGACCAGAGAGAGAGAGACCAGAGAGAGATACCAGAGAGAGACCAGAGAGAGAGAGAGACCAGAGAGAGATACCAGAGAGAGACCCCAAAGAGAGAGACCAGAGAGAGACCCCAAAGAGTGACACCAGAGAGAGACCCCAAACCAGAGATAGAGAGATACCAGAGAATCCTCTCAACTAATCATTGCGGCACGCACTAGTGACAAAAGCTTTCTTCGAACTATAAATAAAATGATCTAATCTTATACTAGCGTTTATATGATGATGTTGGAAAACACACGCAGCGCAATACAAAAGACACTGTAAAAAAACCCCAAAAAAAACAGTAAAACACAGCTGCAAAAAGTGAACGGCGTTAGAGCGAAGGCGCACGAATACCTTCCAAAACCATTGTATGACGGGGTGATTGGGGCAGTAGCCGTTCTTGTAAACAGAGTGTTGTCTCCAGTCGTTGACGTCGACGTCGCCCAAACCACACATGAGCAACTGAAACCACAAGAGACCCACATGTTTGAGTGTGAAGGTCACTCTACAATCATCACCGCAACATGTACAATACCTCCAGTTCATTTTCATCGAAGATTTTGATCAGATCTATAAGGATGAGCTCCGTGAATCCCTGAAAGACAGAGCAGTAACAGTATTAGATAAGATAAGATAGTCTTTATTGATCTCATAAAGGAGAAATGTATATGTCACATCTGGCATGGACAAGTGCAAGTGACTTAAAGTGAGTTATTAGGTAAAAATTATATATCCTTTCAATCAACACTATAAAAAGTGATGAAAAATAAAATGAAAATAAAATGTGGTGAAATGTATCTCAGTTTGAGCACATTCTGACAGCCACAACATTTTCCAATGGGATAAATAAAAATGATACAAGAAATGTCTCCCTTGGAATTTTACCTCCATATTGAATCATTATTTGCAGCGAAGGGTGTCAAACTGGTTCCAAAATGGGCCGTTGTGATTGAAGGTTTTCATTCCAACCAAGCAGGAGCAGGAGCACACCAGACTCCACCCATTTCCTCAGGTTAAGACTGGACTCACTTGGGTGGAGTCTACTCTCCTTCTCCTTGGTTGGATTAAAACCTTGCAGCCACACAGACTCTTTGAGGACCGGTTTGACATCCCTGGTTTAAATGTATTGTTTTCATACACACATTTAATTGAGCAAAATAAATGCACCAGCTAGCGTGAACATGTGTTGAAGTGAAAACCCGCCATTACCTCCAGGAATGCATTCATCTGCTTCTGCACACGGTTCACAAATCTCCACTGGATCACGAGGCTTTGGGAAAGACATTTAAACACATTTATACATTGGCTGCTTTTAGTCAAATTACATATTTTTTTCAAGCAAAAAAAAACAACGTAATTTACTCAATATATTCCTGTTTATTGTCATTGGTCACAACCATGTCAGAACCGTTGGGCTTCAGATCGACTTGATACGTCTGTGGGAAGAAAGGGTAGACTTTTTTTAGTAACTTGGAATGACATTTCTGGGATGTCCTGAAAGTGAGAGACCAGAGAGAGACCAGAGAGACATGAGAGAGAGAGATCAGATAGACCAAAGAGAAAGACCAGTCACCAGAGAGAGACCCAGTGAGAGACCAGACAGAGACCAGAGAGAGACCAGAGAGAGAGACCCAGAGAGAGACCCAGTGAGAGACCCAGTGAGAGACCAGAGAGAGGCCAAAGAGAGAGACCAGAGAGAGACCCAGTGAGAGACCCAGAGAGAGACCAGAGAGAGACCCAGAGAGAGACCCAGTGAGAGACCAGACAGAGACCAGAGAGAGACCAGAGAGAGACCCAGAGAGAGACCCAGTGAGAGACCCAGTGAGAGACCAGAGAGAGGCCAAAGAGAGAGACCAGAGAGAGAGACATGAGAGAGACCAGATAGACCAAAGAGAGAGAGAGACCAGAGGGAGACATGAGAGAGACCAAAGAAAGACCAGAGAGAGAGAGAGAGAGAGAGACATGAGAAATACCAGCGAGAGAGACACCAGAGTATCACCACTGTAACCTGGCTCACTGACCAATCGAGTATGATATATGGGCGACATCACAGCGGATATATATGTGGGGGTCTCCCAGTCTGTGGACCCTCTCTCTGACACCATGTAGCAGAATGCCATCTCTCTCTCTCTCTCTCTATGTAGTCATTTATTTCTAGTGTGTGGCCTGTCCTGTCTTTGTTTTCATCTATGTCTCTGAACCATGTGTCTGAAAAAAGTCTAATAATAAAAATAATAAGCAACACTCACCTGTCCAAAATTATCTTCGTCGATACAGAACCTTAAATCCAGCTCTGTGGGATCATTCTCCAGGATCCACTTGAGGGAATTGTAGTATTCACTGTCCTAGAGAGAGACGCACACAAGACACTTGAGAGAACGTACATTTATGATATTAATGACATACTGTTGCTAAGATACGGGAGGCGGACTCACCACGGACTCCATGTCTTTGAGAGAAATCTGTTTTCCAAGCATCATCTTGTAAAATGGTCGAATGAAAAATCCTGCAGCACAAATGTTCGGTCAATATACAGCATCACACAGACACGCACAGACAAACACACACACACACACACACACACACACACAATAACAAAGTAACACAAGGCCCTCGAAATGTTGCATACATCAATAACTAAATTACCAACACACACACACACATAAACACACAGACACACGCACACACAGAGACACACACACAAATGGACAGACACACATAAACACACAGACACACACACACACACACACACGCACAGAGACAGACACAGACAGACACACACACACATATATAGACAGACACACATAAACACACAGACAGACACACACACACACACAGAGACAGACACAGACAGACAGACACACACACACACACAGACAGACACACACACACGCACAGAGACAGACACAGACAGACACAAACACACGCACAGAGACAGACAGAGACAGACACACACACACATATAGACAGACACACATAAACACACAGACAGATACACACACACGCACAGAGACAGACACAGACACACACACACACAGACACAGACACACACTGTATAGTTGGTAGAGCATTGGCCTTTGAGCCTGAAGGTCGTGGGTTCGAGCTCACCACGAGGCTTTCGCCATCGACTCCCACTGATGTTGTTGTGTCCTTGGGCAAGACACTTCACCCAAATTGCCTAGAATGGGTCTGGTGTGTGTGTGAATGGTTGGTGGTGGTCGGAGTGGCCGATTGGCACAGACTGGTTGCCTCGCTTCTGTCAGTGTGCCCTAGGGCAGCTGTGGCTACAGTAGCAGTTTATGGAATAAACTGAATGAATAATGACATTTTTTGAGTGTCCAAAAAAAGCGCTATATAAAACCATCCATCCATCCATCCATCCATTTTCTACCCTTTAATCCATTTCTGGGTCAGGGGGGTGGCAGTCAGAGATGCCACCCAAGTCTCAGAGCACCAGCCCCTCACTGACCCTCTGCAGGTGGTGAGTCCACAGGAGGACGGCTGCTCTCTGAGTGTGAGCATAGCCTTGATCTTTCAGTGGGGGCTTTTGGGCAAAGTGGGGTTAAGTGTCTTGCCCAAGGACACAACAACAGCAGTCATCAGTGGGAGTCGGTGGAGAAGGTGTAGAGGTGGGAATTGAACCCACGACCTTCTGGCCTTAAGGCCAATGCTCTACCAACTGAGCTACTGTCGCCCCATATATATGTACCGCTATATAAAACCGATGCATTTATTATTATAATTAAACCAGATTAGAATCCCGCCCCCCTCCCTCCTTTCTTTTACTCCTTTTAGTTATTTATTTATTGTTTATTTGGTTGGGACAGAACATGTTACTGAACACATCACTCCAGATTGTAGCCATGGGTTTATTTGCATCCGTTGTCCCACATTCGCACTCACAAACACACACTCATTCACCCTGAACTATTGCACAGGTTTTTAGTGGTAGGGGAAACTGGAGTACCTGGAGGAAACCTACGCAGACACGGGGAGAACATGAAGACTCCTTTCAGAAAGGCCCTGTTCCAACCGAGATTCAAACCTAGAACCTCCTTGCTGAGTGCTACCCACTCAGCCACCGTGCCGCATATAACCATGCAAAAAATAAAAATAAAGTTTACCGTCTAACAGCTTTCCATGGAACACGGCCATCCCAGCCACACGCCCGATGAACTTGAAGTACGAGAGATGATCCTCGTTGCAGAGACCAGAGTTGGGGTTGATTTGAAGAGTGTAATTATCCCTGTGGATGTAAAATACAAAGAAACAGACCTGAAATTATTACTATGAATTTTGATGATTGTTTTTGTTGTGTTCAGTACTTTGAGTGGCCTTGTGTATGAACTTAGCCTGGCCTTAGCCGTCTGTAAACTCAATTATCATTTCCTACATGTACGTCTGGGTCTGGTCCTAGTGGCTGAAGTTTCCTCGGTTATATCGCATTCGACCAATCAGAGAGCGGGGAGGGCGGGTGTTGTAGGTCGGTGTCTGTGACCTCAAGAGTTTGTGCCGAATTTACTGGTTGTAGTTTGGCGGAGAATGCGATAGTAAAATAATCTGTTCTGGTTCGACTCCAAATATCAAAGAATTGAAGCCGCAGCAAAAGGAATGTTTAGCAAATGTCATTGCTGCATAGATGTTGTGGCTCTACTCTCCACGGGCTCTGTTAGTGGCAAAGGAGATGGCTAAAGCTAGGCTAAATGCTAAAGCTAGGCTAAATGTTAGCGACACACTCGGGCTCATTACAAACGTCACGGTAAACTAAGATCGAATCATTTCAATCTGCAAAAGGAGTTAACCTCTCCCACTTGTTAAATTCAGACCCTAGTACGAAATGAATTTGTACTATGGTGTGGCAAGACCAGGCTAGTATGAACTGTGCTGTACAAAAAAAAAACTAGCTTTGTCTTAAAATGTCAGCTATAAAATGAGTAACCAGCAGTACTCACGTAGCAGAGTACTCGAACAGGCCGTAGTAAGGGTTGAACATCTCCTTGGACAACAGGAAGAACCACTCTCGGGCCACGCCTCCGTAGTCTAGACCCTTCTCGGACTCGAACTCGATCCAGAGTCGGGCTTTGAGGATGTCCGGTCGCTTCAGGGACATGATGCGGCGGTACGACTCCTCGAAGATGTTGTTTCTGTGCAGCTTCATCTCAAAGCGGTTCGGGATGTCGGTCTGAAACACACGCAGCGGAAGGATGGGTTGACGGTAAATACAAACAAACTGGAACAAGAGAAATTATGTGTTTGGAAAAAAATGCAGTGAGATTTTCTGGTGATGAAGATTTTGATGTCATTTTATCTTAATCCATGAGAATGCATTTAACTTACACTGCTACTTCGGTCTGTGTGTGTGTGTGTGTCCGTGTGCGTATAAGTGTGTGTATGTATTTGTCTGTGTGTATATGTGTGTCTGTATGATTGTCGGTGAGTGGGTCTGTTAATGTGTGTGTGTCTGTATATGTGACTTTGTGTCTGTGTGGTTGTATGTGTGATTGTGTGTTTGTGCGTGTCTTTACGTGTGAGTGTGTGTGTGTTTGTATCGGTGTGTATGTGTGTGTGTGTAAGTATGTATTTTTCTGTGTGTGTATATGTGTGTCTGTATGATTGTCGGTGTGTGGGTCTGTGAATGTGTGGGTGTGTGTGAATAAGTGTTTCTGCGTGTCTTTACGTATGTGTGTGTGTTTGTATCGGTTTGTGTGCATGTGTGCAAGTGTGTGTATGTATTTGTCTGTGTGTATATGTGTGTCTGTATGCTTGTCGGTGTATGGGTCTGTGAGACTTTGGGTCTGTGTGGTTGTATGTGTGAATGTGTGTTTGTGTGTGTCTTTACGTGTGTGTGTGTGTGTTTGTGTGTGTCTGTATTGGTTTTTGTGTGTAGAACAGTTTTGTGCTTAATTGTGTTATAGAGATTAGAGTTTCGCTTTTCAGCCAGAGCCCGAGCAGGCCCGAGCCCGGCCTGAACTCGGGTCGGGCTCGGGCCTCACTTCAGCGCTAAGCAGTCGGGCCGTTCCGGGCTCGGGCTCCTTTTTATTTTTACTTTTTGTATTCTTTTTAATCAATATTTTTTATTATTTATGATTTTCATACATAATGATATGCATATATGTATTTATTAATAATAATGTCCGTTGATTGACCACAAGTTATTAAAAAAGTTGATATATTTATAACACCGTAACCGGCGTGTCCTACAGCCGCAGCAAGCCATGAACGCATCATCCCTGTTTTTCCTGTTGAATGCTACGGTCAACAGGGAACACACGGAACATTAACAGAAATGGATCAGGTGGATGTACAAAACACATTCAGAAGTGGCTAAACTTGCAATTGGAAGGTGAGTGCGTACAACAAGGGAAATCAGATGTGTCGGGCTTCTGTCGGGCTCGGGCCTATTATACAACCTTAATTGGTCGGGCTTATACGGGCTCGGGCTTAGTATTAGCAGGCTCGGGCCGGGTCGGGCTTGATTTTTCAGGGCCGGGTCGGGCTTGATTTTTCAGGCCCGAACGAAACTCTAATAGAAATACATTTATAAACCACTGCTTTAGATGCGTTATTCTTCTCTGGCCAAAAGATGGAGCAGTGGAGCAAAGAGCCCAGACACTGAAGCGTTCAGTTAATTGACTGAAAGCCTGAGAAGACTGAAGAGAAGGTTGTAGAAGAAATAATGAAAGTATGTGTCCTTTTTTGACCTATGTACTTGCATTAATCTTCTCTTTTTCCCTCTCAATGTCCAAATAAATAGATTCAGATTAAGATAGAAACATACATACATACATTACATACATACACATTCATATTCATTCAATCATGTACAAAAACTAAAAAACAAATAAAAAACAAAACATGTGTTACAATCAATGCCAAATTAGTTTTAGAAACAAAACTTCTTACCGGTTTCTTTAACTTCTTCCTAAAATAATCATATTTTTGCTTGAATTCTCTGGAGTAGGGGACGGCCTGAAAGCAAGAACAGATGAAATGGGTTATTGTAATATAATAGCATAACAAACAAACATCAAAGTGTTATTATAGCAGTTGAAGTGGGTCCTGGAGGCAGAGGTGTTGCCACGTGTTACAGTAGAAACAGAGTGTTGTGTGAAGAGGTCGCTCTGTCCTCAAGAGCAGCAGATTGTAGCTTCAGTTTGACTTCAGTTTGACAAAGCACTCACTGGTGTGAAGTGTGTCAGATACTAACGGCTGTGACATTTACAGCAGTAACTATGTTTTGAGGATGGTCTTCAGTTTGACTCACCGGTCCTGTGATGGCTGGACTCTGCAGGCGCGGGTCTTCCCACTGAGTGTTCTTTGTGTCTAAAGGTAAAAAAATATATATACACTTTAAATACAGCAGGAAGAGATAAGATTACATTGTATTAAAACACTGTTGTAACTAATAAATACCGTGATAATCAATACTCAACAGCTTTGATTGAATAAAAAAACAACTACAGTACTTCAGTGCATTTGCCAATTGCAGTAAAACCACATTGGAATACATGTGCAAAAGTCCCCAGATTGCACAGGACAAGAACATACATAAAACAATTAAGTAAGAAAGTTGAGGGCACCAGCCCTCACCACTTTGAGGGCTGGTGCCCTCGAAGTGGTGTTGTTCATGTTGACAATTGGAGTGCCTTTTGGGGAAAGCCCGGTCTCATCCGCTCGGATGATATCCACCCAACGTTGGCGGGTACATCCCTTTTGGCTAAGAATTTGGCCCTGGCTCTAAACTGTTCTGCTCGGCTCAAATGACGATGCAGAACTGAGGCCCGGGTGCAGAGCTGCTCTGCCACAACCTCTGAGCCCCCATCTGTTCAGTTACTAGCCTCAGAAGCTAGTCAGATTGAAACTGTGTGTGCATGTGTGTGTGTGCCTGTGTGTGCTCAGTTACTAGCCTCAGAACCTAGTCAGATTGAAACTGTGTGTGTTCCCCGCTTGAAGTCTAAAGCACTATATGCGAGGAAATCTGACCTAGGTGTCAGACACAGTAACTTAATAAAAGTTCAGACAGACAGAAATAGTTCTAGCGGTAGGGTTGTTAAATGTGGTTTAATGAACGTCAGATCAATCTCGTCTAAATCGCTTCTCATAAACGAACTTATTATAGACAAGGGCTTGGATCTGTTTGCGCTCTCGGAGACTTGGCTCCAACAGGACGACTACGTTAGATTGAATGAGTGCACTCCTCCGACGCATGTTAACTACCAGAAAGCCAGAGCTACAGGTCGCGGCGGTGGTGTTGCGATTATATCACACACCAACTTGGTTCTTAGTCCCAAAACCAACAACGCTTTTCACTCGTTTGAAAACTTAACACTTTCAATCACCTGTCCTGGGTGGAGAAAACAAAAAGCAGTACTATTTATAGTTTTATACCGACCTCCTGGTCCTTACAGCGAGTTCCTAACAGAATTCTCTGACTTCATTTCAAACCTAGTTTTGGAATGGGAAAACATAGTTATAGCTGGAGACTTCAATATACATGTGGACGACAGCACTGACAGCTTAAACAAAGCTTTCAGCGCCGTACTAGATGGTGTTGGTTTTACTCAGAATGTCGAGGAACCTACTCACATTCATAACCACACCTTGGACCTTGTCCTGACCTACGGCTGTGATGTCTCCAATGTTGACATCCAGCGTCAAAGCTCGTTGCTGTCTGACCATTTCTTGATCACGTTTGATCTCGCTTTGGAGGACTTTCCTGTCCCGCAAGATAAAACCATAATGAAAAGAACCTTAAATGATAAATCTATCACAAGGTTCAAAGAACTAATACAGCCTATGTTGAATACTGCTGCAGGTGAACCTGTTCACAGCAGCTGCAGTCCCTCAGTCATTGACCAAACGGTGGGCAACACTATGGAGTCTTTAAAATCTGCATTAAATGCAGCAGCTCCTTTAAAACAGAAAACCATTAGGATTAGATCATCGTCGCCCTGGTACAGTGTTCAACTCCACACTTTAAAACAGGACGTCAGAAAATTGGAGAGGCTATATTGCCACTCCCACTCGGAGCCTGTCCACAGGGAGTGGAAAGCAGGTCTCCGAAACTACAAGAAGGCCCTTCGCGGGGCTCGAACTCAATACTATTCAACTTTAATAGAAGCGAATAAAAACAACAGTAGATTTTTGTTTGGTACCGTCGCTAAACTCACAAACTGCCATAGCGCAATCGAGCCTAAAATTCCAAGCTCACTGAGCAGTGTCGACTTTCTCCACTTCTTTAATAATAAAATTACATCCATCCGTGACAAGCTGGAGGAGGTTGCTCCTGCTGTTAGTGGTGGACAGGTTGAAGCGGCATACGTGACTTCCCACTTAGACTCTTCAGTGTGCCTTAATAAATTCATGGCTGTGAGCCAAGCAGAGGTGATCTCTGTGGTCACATCCTCAAAAGCCTCAACTTGCATGTTAGACGCAGTCCCGACATGGCTCTTCAAAGACATACTTCCTTTGATAATTGAGCCTATCGTAAATATAATAAACGCATCCATACAATGTGGCTATGTCCCACAAGCTTTTAAAACCGCGGTAATCAAACCCCTTCTGAAGAAAACAAACCTGGACCCAGAAATACTTACAAACTACAGACCGATCTCAAACCTCACTTTTATATCTAAAATCCTGGAAAAACTTATAGCTGAGCAGCTCCGCTGCCACCTGCAGGAAAATAATATGTTTGAAGTCTTTCAATCTGGATTCAGAGCTCATCATAGCACTGAAACGGCACTAGTCAAAGTCACAAATGACTTACTACTAGCTGCCGATAATGGACAAGTGTCAGTGCTGGTCCTACTGGACCTTAGTGCTGCATTTGACACAATAGACCACAGCATTCTACTGCAGAGGCTAGAATGTGATATAGGTCTTAGAGGAACAGCTCTTGGCTGGTTTAAATCCTATTTATCAGATCGATATCACTTCGTCAATGTGAATCAGGACTCGTCGCCTTATTCTGGAGTGGAATTCGGTGTGCCGCAGGGTTCGGTACTCGGACCGATTCTTTTTACTCTCTACATGCTGCCACTGGGAAACATTATTAAAAAGCATGGAATTAATTTCCACTGCTATGCAGATGACACACAGCTTTATCTGTCGATGAAGCCTAATCAGACAGATCAGCTAGAAAAGCTCAGTGCCTGCATAAAGGACCTTAAAATGTGGATGACTCTTAACTTCCTACTTCTCAACCCGGAGAAGACAGAAGTGATCCTACTCGGTCCGAAGCGCCTGCGTGACTCCCTCACTAACCAGATGGTTACTCTCGATAATGTCAGTATAATACCCAGTAACACTGTGAGGAATCTTGGAGTCATTTTTGACCAAGAACTCTCCTTCAAGGCTTATATAAGCCAAGCAACTAAAACGGCGTACTTCCACTTACGGAACATCGCTAAAATTAGGAATTTCCTTCCTAAAAGTGACGCGGAAAAACTCATTCACGCGTTTTTGTCACCTCAAGGCTCGACTACTGTAACGCTTTACTGGCAGCGTGCCCTAAAGCCTCTTTGAAGAGCTTCCAGCTCGTTCAGAATACAGCAGCTAGGATCTTAACAGGTACCAAAAGGAGGGAGCACATAACTCCGGTGTTAAAATCACTCCACTGGCTCCCTGTGGAGTACAGAATAAAGTTTAAAATCCTACTCTTAACATATAAAGCCATAAATGGCTTGGCTCCTTCTTATCTCCAAGACACGTTAGTGTCGTATCAACCAGGTCGAGCGTTGCGCTCACAAAACGCCAGACGTCTGGTGGTCCCTAAGGTCTCAAAGGTCACTGTTGGTGGCAGAGCATTTAGCTACCAAGCTCCTTTACTGTGGAATCAGCTTCCCATTTATGTTAAGGAAGCAGATACGGTCTCCACATTCAAGGCCAGGCTTAAAGCACTTTACTTTAATTTAGCATATAATTAGGTAATATATAATATGTAGTGTATATATTATATATATATGCTGTATTATGTTATATATTATGTTATATATTATTCAATAATGTATTGTGTTATGTTGTATATTATGTTATATATTATGCTGTATGTTATTCTTTATTCAAGGCTAGGTTTAAAACAGTCCTCTTTAGTTTAGCATATGGCTAGGAAGGTAAGACTCGGAGAAGGTTAAACTCCTCAGAGTGTCAGTCAAGCTGCATAGGGAGTCAGTTTGCTGGGAGAAGTATGGTAACTTGAGCACTATCCTCTCCTCCTTCCTACTTTATCTGTTTAGCATTTTTAGGATTCTGACTGTAGTTTGTTCATTGCTATTCACCCCGTTGTCCCATTGTCTGTTTCATGGTACGATGACGGGATCTCTGAGCCTGGCCTCTTCCATCTACACCTGCGGACTGCCCCGCCCGACCCGCCTGGGAGTGCTTCGGTCCTGCACCGGACCTGTCCACGTTCAGCGTCCACTGGTCCACGTTCTGTAGCTAGCTTAGGTCCTAGATCATTAGCCTGTCCGTCCGGAGGAGCGGATCCCTTTCTCATATGGGTCTCCCTCCCTGTGGGTTTCCCTAGTTCTCCTCCAAGGTTTCTCACTTTTTCCCACTGGGTTTTTTAAGAGTTTTTCCTTGTCGATGCAGGAGGGTCTTGTTGGACAGTTAGTGTCCAACAGAAAGGATTGGTGATGATCAGGACACTTTAGCATTCTACAACATTTATGGACATTTTCTTCTGTGTGTGCTTTATATTCTTCATGTGTTTTAACTGTTGATTCTCTGACCTGTGTTGGTGATTTCAATGGTTTTGTTAAGTCCTCTGAGATGACTTCTGTTGTGACCTAGGGCTATACAAGAATAAATTGTATTGTATTGTATTGTAAGAAAGTAATGTTTATTTATATAGCGCCTTTCACAGACCAGAAGCACAAAGCGGTTTACAATTGTGGGCATTTGTCTCTCACTCCACACAGAGATGGGAGTGAGGTTACTACAATCACTCGCTAACAAGCTCCTTTAATGCTTAGGAGGTTCTTATAAGACAAAAGGGATAGAGAAGCTAGTCCTGCTAATTGTAAAGAACCTACTGTAGGTAATTATGCACTACTAGCTTCTACACTACACGTTTCTCTCATGTGTAAGAACCTCCTACACCTTAAGCAAAAGGAGACATGATGAGTTTTATACATTTGCTCCTTTTAATGACTTCAGACCAAGTGACATATGTATAAATAAATGGGGTGTCTTACTGTGGTCAATGTAGAAGGTGCGACCGTCTGAGTGGATTCTTTCTTCCCATCCAGGCTAAAAGCAATAAGAAACATCAATCAGACAAAAAATACAAGAACTCAAATCATTAAAATGACAAAAGGGAGCAGGCCGACATCAAAAAGCAACTCAAATCCTTCCTGACACGACTGAGGCACATGAAGGTCAATCAAAGAACGTAAAGAGAATCAGGAGGATTTTTTTGCTTTTGTTTGAGTGAGGTCTGAAACAGGAACCAGGCAGGGAAATGAGAACGAAAAGAAAGAGGTTTTTATCACGTCAGAATAAACCAAAGCAGCACTGACGCCATGGCCACTCGGGATAGTGTTACGAAGCACAGACAACTGGGAAAGTGGTTTACAGTGGTCCCTTGTTTATCGCAGAGAGACCAGAGAGAGAGAGACCAGAGAGTGAGACCAGAGAGAGACCAGAGAGTGAGACCAGAGAGAGACCAGAGAGTGAGACCAGAGAGAGACCAGAGAGAGAGAGACCAGAGAGAGACCAGAGAGAGAGACCAGAGAGTGAGACCAGAGAGAGACCAGAGAGAGACCAGAGAGAGAGAGACCAGAGAGAGACAAGAGAGAGAGAGACCAGAGAGAGACCAGAGAGAGAGAGACCAGAGAGAGACCAGAGAGAGAGACCAGAGAGTGAGACCAGAGAGAGACCAGAGAGAGACCAGAGAGAGAGAGACAAGAGAGAGAGAGACCAGAGAGAGAGAGACCAGAGAGAGACCAGATAGAGACCAGAGAGAGACCAGAGAGTGAGACCAGAGAGAGACCAGAGAGAGACCAGAGAGAGAGAGACAAGAGAGAGAGAGACCAGAGAGAGAGAGACCAGAGAGAGACCAGATAGAGACCAGATAGAGACCAGAGAGTGAGACCAGAGAGTGAGACCAGAGAGAGACCAGAGAGAGACCAGAGAGAGAGACCAGAGAGAGAGACCAGAGAGAGACCAGAGAGAGACCAGAGATAGAGAGACCAGAGAGAGAGAGAGACCAGAGAGAGACCAGAGAGAGAGAGACAAGAGAGAGAGAGACCAGAGAGAGAGAGACCAGAGAGCACGAGACCAGAGTGAGACCAGAGAGAGACAAGAGAGAGACAAGAGAGAGAGAGACCAGAGAGCGCGAGACCAGAGACCGAGACCAGAGAGAGACCGGAGAAAGAAACCAGAAAGAGAGAGAGAGGGGCCAGACAGAGCGGTGAGAGAGACCAGAGAGAGACCAGGTATATAAAACCAGTTGGTTGCAGGTCTGAGCGCTGCTGCAGCTGTCAAAAGCTGTGCATACACTGTAAAATACAGCTGCAGACGACACTGAGGGACAGGAGCAGAACTAAGGGCTACGGGAAGACCAGAGAGAGACCTGAGAGAGAGAGAGAGAGAGACAGAGAGATCAGAGAGAGAGCAGAGAGAGAGAGAGAGAGAGAGACCAGAGAAAGAAATCAGAGAGATATCAGAGAGAGACACCAGAGAGAGACCAGAAAGAGAGAGATCAGAGAGACAGACCAGAGGGAGAAAGAGAGTCCAGAGAGCATCCTCACAAAACACACAAAAGCCACAAAAGTTTTCTTCTGACTTTAATTAAAGATAACTGTATGTTATACTAGCGGATATATAATGTTTGTACAGGATGTTGGACTACAGCACGATGCATGAGAAGCACCCAGTAAAAAAAAATAAGTAGAAATCCAAGAAACCTGGAGGCCGCGAAAGGTGTTAAAGCGAGAGACCACTGTAAATCACATCCTGTTAATCCCCTTTCACCACATGTATTCTTTTGAAATCACAGAAGTGGACATGAGGTGTTTGTTAATCCATAACAAAAAATATGAAAGAAACCAGGTGCACTTCCTCCATGCTGGGAACGACAGAATCAGAGAGAGAGAAAGAATGAAGACGGGAGACTGGACAGGACAGACTCAAACAGAAAAAGCCAGGGTGTCTGCAGACATTTGACTGGACCACCAGACAGGAAGGCAGGCAGATGGAAGGAAGCACCAACCAACCTCCTCTGGTAGGTGCTGCCAAACAGACATGGCCAGATGCAGAAGAAGCAAACATTAGATCCACCAGAATGAGAGAGAAGAAGACAGACAGACAGACAGACAGACAGACATACATGCACACACCACACAAGCTCATGATGCAGACTCTGAAAAAAGTCTTGTTCACATAAAGAAAGATGTCATATAACGAAAGTCTCCAGCAATCACAGAGAACCGCACAGCAACCAACTGGTTTGAGACCAGAGAGAGACCAGAGAGAGACCAGAGAGAGACCAGAGTGAGACCAGAGAGAGACCAGAGAGCGCGAGACCAGAGAGAGACCAGAGAGAGAGAGAGACCAGAGAGAGACCAGAGAGAGACCAGAAAGAGAGACCAGAGAGAGAGACCAGAGAGCGCGAGACCAGAGAGTGAGACCAAAGCGAGACAAGAGAGAGACCAGAGAGAGACCAGAGAGAGAGACCAGAGAGAGAGAGACCAGAGAGAGACCAGAGAGAGACCAGAGAGAGACCAGAGAGAGACCAGAGAGAGAGACCTGAGAGAGACCAGAGATATCAAACCAGTTGGTTGCAGGTTTGAGCGCCGCTGCAGCTGTCAAAAGCCGTGTATACACTGTAAAATACAGCTGCAGAGGACACTGCGCTGAGAGACCAGAGTGAGAAACCAGAGAGAGAGAACAGGGAAAGAGAGACCAGAGAGGGAGACCAGAGAGAGACCAGAGAGAGAGAGACCAGAGAGAGCGACCAGAGAGAGCGACCAGAGAGACCATAGAGAGCGACCAGAGAGAGCGACCAGAGAGAGCGACCAGAGAGAGCGACCAGAGAGAGCGACCAGAGAGAGAGACCAGAGAGAGCGACCAGAGAGAGCGACCAGAGAGAGCGACCAGAGAGAGCGACCAGAGAGAGAGACCAGAGAGAGAGAGACCAGAGAGAGCAACCAGAGAGAGCAACCAGAGAGAGAGACCAGAGAGAGAGACCAGAGAGAGAGAGACCAGAGAGAGCGACCAGAGAGAGAGACCAGAGAGAGAGCGACCAGAGAGAGAGCGACCAGAGAGAGCGACCAGAGAGAGACCAGAGAGAGCGACCAGAGAAAGAGAGACCAGAGAGAGCGACCAGAGAGAGACCAGAGAGAGACCAGAGAGAGAGAGACCAGAGAGAGCGACCAGAGAGAGCGACCAGAGAGAGAGACCAGAGAGAGAGACCAGAGAGAGCGACCAGAGAGAGCGACCAGAGAGAGCGACAAGAGAGAGCGACCAGAGAGAGAGAGAGACAGGAGAGAGCGACCAGAGAGAGCGACCAGAGAGAGAGACCAGAGAGAGCGACCAGAGAGAGCGACCAGAGAGAGAGAGACAGGAGAGAGCGACCAGAGAGAGAGACCATAGAGTGAGACCAGAGAGACCAGAGAGACCAGAGAGACCAGAGAGACCAGAGAGAGAGACCAGGCCATGAAAGCTGAACCGCTTTGTACCGAGGGACCTCTCTAAAAAACACTAGTGGAAAAAATAACACATGAATTGCAGTAATGAATATGAACGCAAACATCTTCCATGTAATATGTTTGTATTTAACCCTGTCCCGTTTTGGTCACAGAGGCTTGACAAGTCTTCGGTTCAAGCAGATGGGGTCTTCAGAACAAAAAAGCTTAAAAACCAATTATCTACAATATGACAGCACTCGCAGTTCCTTGCTGTTATTCTGAATACATAGAATCTAAAGTGAAGTTTTGAGATTGTGAAACACATTTGTGGCATTTCATATTTTGCGGCTGACGCATGTCGCTGAAGCACTTACTGGAAGTGGACCGAGTTCGCCGGGTTCCATCAAGTTCTTATTCCTCATATGGACGGGATACTTTAGTCTGGGGTCGTCCTGTGGGTACATGAGAGTGGCAGGGTCAGAGGGTGTATGGGCCTGTGTGTGTGTGTGTGTGTGTGTATGGGCCTGTGTGTGTGTATTTCTGTATGAATGAGTATCTCTGTTTGAGAGTGTGTTTGTGCGTATATATGTGTGTGTGCATCTGTGTGTGCATGTCTCTGTGTGTGCATGTCTCTGTGTGTGGATCTCTGTTAGTGTCTCTGAGTGTGCATTTGTGTTAGTGTGTGCATGTATGTGTTAGTGTGTGTATGTGTGTGTTAGTGTGTACATATTGTTAATTTCCTCCTTTTTCCTACTGTTTTTTAAAGTATTTTTGGACAACTTTGGTCTAGCTCAGACAGATCAAACTCAGGCCCGGTCCACGAGACCATTATTAGTGGCCCCTGAAATGATTTTTAACCATTTCATACATAAGTTCTATGTAATCATAATTAGAAGCTAAGTTAGGCAAAGTTACGTTTAAAAAATATATATATATTCAACTATGAATCTTCAATGATATCTTTTGTTTATATTTGTCCCAGTTGTGATTGAATCTAGAAAATCATTCCCAAATATAAGAAAAAAATAATTTGTCAAAAAAAAAAAGTTAAAAAATAGTGTGACCCTCCTGCTTTAAGTTAGATGTGTCCGCTTCGTCCAACCCCTTTTCCCAAAACATGTAAAAAGTTAATTTATCTTGCTGTGGTTTTGTGTGGTCTGTTTAAGCCTCCAGACCTTGAACAGACTGCATTCCCTCTGGACCAGCACTCACCCAGGTGGTGGCTCTGCTGTTGTGGTCGATGAAGAACGGTCTTCCATTGGGGGCTATCCTCATCTCCCATCCGGGCGGCAGGAAGCTCTGCTGGGTCTTGTGCTGAGACTTGGGCGAGCTGTAGGGAGAGGGCTGAGGAGACTGCGGGTTGGAGAAGGTGTCTTTGACCGCTCTCCGGACTGGATTATTGCTGGCGCCCTACAGAGCAAGCATCATTGGAACAACTTTAACAAGGACAAGGAACAACAACCTCCAGATTATTATGAATTATTTTAGCAGCAGAATCTCCTTTGATTGAAACAAGTAATAATACAACACTATAATAAGTAAGTAACAAGCTCAAATATGTGGATGTATAGCATGAATATACGCCTAAATCTCCAATACAGGGGTTCCCAAACTTTTTAGTGAGAGGGCCACTTTGGTTCAGCAAAAATGCCCAGGGCCCGACAACATGGGTTAACTGGTCTGAGCTTTAAGATAAAGTGTGAAATGTCTATATTGGTTAATCTTTGACAGAGCTTAAGTTGGCTGGATGACACTGTGAACTTGTCTTCATGTTATAAAAGGCTGCTTTTGGGTTAGCGAGGGAAAGGGCCGAATAAATAATGAAAAATAAGATACATTTAGCAAAATTTTAGCTATTTTTCACTTAACTTGAGCACATTCTGACTGCTTTAAAACAAGATTTGCCAACAAGACAAAACAAAATGATCTTGTTTTAAAAGACAAAATAAATGTCTCCCTAAGAATCAGAAAAAAAGCAATAATTTCAGAAATAAGACTTATTTTAAGACATTCAGAAAGTGCTCAAATTCGGACAAAAAACACTCAATTCGAACAATTATTAACTAATATTCTATCACTTTTTGCAGTGTACACAAAAATACTTGTATTTGAATAACATTTTTGCTTTATCAACAAACACAAAAATTCTAAAAGAAAAAAAAAATCCTATTGGAGTCACCTTTTTGTGAGTAACCTGGGCAGTGAGGCACAATGTGATATCCATGACAGAAACAACAAAACAGAAAGAGCAAAAGTTGGAATCAGAAATATCGAATTGTTCATGGACAAAAGACAGGGACGAGGCGTGTTACAGCAGAGAGGAGAGAGGGAGGGTCAGTATTTACGGTCTCTGGGTCAGTCTCACCTCTAAGGGAGTGGACAGGGTAACAGTGGGGGAGCTGAGGCTACGAGCTCGTCGCACTTGGGGCTCATGGAGGTGGTTGTTGGAGGAGCTGGAGGAGGAGGAGGAGGGGATGGAAGCGGCGGGAAGGGCAGACGCTCCTCCAGAGGCTGCGGCCGACGTGCTGGCTCCGTCCTCTGTCAGCTGTCAGCGATACAAGCATTTACAGGTTGAGTTGGGAGTTGGGATATGGAGGTCTAAGCCATTACAATCACACAGACTATTCCTAAGCACATATTTCTTATCCACCTGCTGGGGTTAGTAAATGAGTAACTATACTTTAATGTAGTCTCCATCTTGTACATGAGCAGGTCGTCCCATCTCCCATATGGTAGCTACAGTGCATTATACAAGAGTGCAGTTTCTTTACATAACCAGCAGGTGGCAATCACACAGGCCAAAGGGCAGGTAGACAGAGTTGAAATCTTGTTCTTTTCTGTTCGTCTCTTTAACGCAGGCTCAGCCATGACTCGTTTATGCATCATCAAATAAATTAATACACTTCGAAGTTACATAATCATAACTCACAAAAACATCAGAGGGAGAAGAAGAAAGAATAGAGAGACGTGAGGAGAAGACGGATACAGAATTCCAGGCTTTTATACAGTTGGGATATTTTCATGATTATTTACAGCTACAGAGAGAGATAAAGGTCCAGCACAGAATGGTTTAATCTGGTCTACACCAGGACTGAACCCCTTCGAAATCAAGACTGAACCCGGTCAAAACCAGGGCTAAAACCAGGAGTAAACCAGGACTGAACCAGGTCGAAATCAAGACTGAACTAGGACTCAAGCAGGTCTAACTGGGACAGTAACAAGACTGAACCAGGACAACCAGGTCAAAATCAAGACTGAACCAGGACTCAAGCAGGTCTAAATCAGGACTGAACCAGGTCTAAATCAGGACTGAACTAGGAGTAAACCAGGCCTACACCAGGCCTACACAAGGACAGGAGGACCAGGTCTAAATCAGGACTAAAATCAGGACTAAACCAGGTCTAAATCAGAACTGTGCGTCCATAAAACTAGAACTGCATTCAGAGATCATACGGATCTCTCCCACCGCAGCAGAGGAATGTCTGTGTGTGGATTGCAGAGTTCGATCCAGTCCAACAACA